CCCAAATGTCAAGAGTGACGATGGTGGGCAACCCTGCCTTAGAAGGATATAAACAAGCCCAAAAACATTTGACAAGTACAATCTCTTTAATAACTAGTTAGGGAACTGGCCCTAAATCCTGAATGATTATCATAGACTCAACAGGAAACAACCTAATGTCACATCTTGCTGCTGCAGAAATGTCCCAGGGCCATGACAGCTTCTTAAGTCACTAGGTCCACAGGCCCCAGTTGGTGTCCAAGGCTCCTCCATATGTGTCACAGTCTGGTCCAGGTCTAGATCCTCTCCATCCTTCCACCTGTGAGCTAAAACATACATGTACCCTCCATCAACACAAATCAAAGGGATAGAAGGAGACCAACCTGTCACCCCCTTTTGACCCACCCATTCCTATCCTCCTCTACCTCACCTCCTCCTTCTAGAAGTTGATTTCCCGTTGGGATATGTTTCTGTTCTGTTTCACATTTCTAAATTCACTAAGAGCTTTGTAGCCAGATTTCCCTCCTACATTTATCATGGTGGTGGGTTGAGAGAGAGACTCCCTCAGGATGATGGTGCCATGCTTTGGCCCATGGTCTAAACCATAAAACCCTGTAAGCACTATCAGTTGCTAACTCACCTCCTTGGCAGTGGCAGGAGTTCCCTGTTCAAATCTGACTGTCCCTCGTTCTGCTCACTGGGGACTGGAGAGGATTCTCCTGTCATGAGGGATATAGAGTCACAGTAGTCCTCGTCTGGAGCTGGTGCTGGCATCCTCCATATGTAGCCCTGAGGGATTCCCTCAGGAGTGCCAAAGTGTTCCCATGTTGATTTGAGTCAAGCATAAACCTGGGGTTAGCCCAAGGCCTGTTTTGATTGTCATGATGTAACTCACTCAGAACATGAATGAACTTTCTATCCAGTTTATTTCTAGAGACTCCTGGAATGTAGGAATCTCCACTACTCACCATTCCCTGATGCAACTCCCCAGCCAGTGCCAACATATTATTTGGTGGTCTCTTATTTGAATCTGCTCTCCTGGCACCAATTTCTGATATAAAAATAAACTGAAGGGGAGGGGCCAAGATGACCTAACAGGAACAGCTCTGATCTGCAGCTCCCAGGGAGACTAATGCAGAAAGTGGGTGATTTCTGCTTTTCAAACTGAGGTACCCAGTTCATCTCGTTGGAACTGGTTAGGCAGTGGGTCCAGCCCATGGCAGGTGAGCAGAAGCAGGGTGGGGCATCACTTCACCCAGGAAGTGCAAGAAGCCAGGGATCTCCCTCCCAGAGCCAAGGGAAGCCATGAGGGACAGTGCCACCTAGCCAGGTTACTATGCTTTTCCAACAGTTTTTGTAATCTGCAGATCAGGATATTCTCTTGTGTATATTTACCACCAGGGCCCTGGGTTTCAAGTATAAAATTGGGCAGCTGTTTGGGCAGACACTGAACTAGCTGCAGGAATTTTTCATACCCCAGTGGTGCCCAGAGCCCCAGCAAGACAAAACCACTCACTCCCCTGGAAAGGTGGCTGAAGCCAAGGAGCCAAGTGGTCTTGCTCAGTGGTTCTCACTCCCACGGAGTTGAGCAAGCTAAGAAGCACTGGCTTGAAATTCTTGCTGCCAACATAGCAGTCTGAAGTTGACCTGGGATGATCAAGCTGGTGCAGGGAAGGGGATCCACCATTACTGAAGCTTTAGCAGGCAGTTTTCCCCTGACAGTGCTAAGGAAGCTGGGAGGTGTGGACTAAGCAAATTCACCACAGCGTGGCAAAGCAGCTTTTGCCAGGCTGCTTCTCTAGATTCCTCCTCACTGGGCAGGGCATCTCTGAAGAAAAGGTAACAACCTCAGTCAGGGACTTGCAGACAAAACCCCCATCTCTCTGGGATACAACACCTGAGGGAAGGGGTGGCAGTGGGTGCAGGTGCAGCTTCAGCAGACTTAATCACTACTGCCTGCCGGCTCTGAAGGGAGCAGCTGATCCTGACAAAAGGAACTCTCCCAGCACAGTGCAGCAGCTCTACTAAGAGACAGACAGACTCCTCAAGTGGGTCCCCGACTCCCATGCCTCCTGACTGGGAGAAACCTCCCAACAGGGATTGACAGACACCTCATACAGCAGAGCTCCAGCTGACATCAGGCTGGTGCCCCTCTGGGACAAAGCTTCGAGAGGAAGAAGCAGGCAACACTTTTTGCTGTTGTACTCCCTCCACTGGGGATACCCAAGTGAAAAGGGTCTGGAGTGGACCTCCAGCAAACTGCAGCAGACCTGCAGAGGAGGGACCTGACTGTTTGAGGAAAAACTAACAAAGAGAAAGCAATGAGATCACCATCAACATAAAGGACCCCCACACAAAAACCCCATCCAAAGGTCATCAATCTCAAATATCAAAGGTAGATAAATCCATGAAGATGAGGAAAAATCAGCACAAAAACTCTGAAAATTCCAAAAATTAGAATGCCTTTTCTCATCCAAACGATCACAACTCCTCTCTAGCAAGGGCACAAAACTGGACAGAGAATGAGACTGACAAATTGGCAGAAGTAGGCTTCTGACTTCAAACACTACCTGACTTCAAACTGTACTTCAAGGCTACAGTAATCAAAGCAGCACGGTACTCATACCAAAACAGATATATAGACCAATAGAACAGAACAGAGACCTCAGAAATAACACCACACATCTACAACCATCTGATCTTCAACAAACCTGACAAAAACAAGCAATGGAGAAAGGATTTTCTATGTAATAAATGGTGCTGGGAAAACTGGCTAGCCATATGCAGAAAATTGAAACTGGACCTCTTCCTTACATTTTATACAAAAATTAACTCAAGATGGATTAAAGACTTAAATGTAAAACCCCAAAATATAAAAACCTGAGAAGAAAACCTAGCCAATACCATTCAGGACAAAGACTTCATGACTAAAACACCAAAAGCAATTATAACAAAAGCCAAAACTGACAAATAGGATCTAATCAAACTAAAGAGCTTCTGCACAGCAAAACAAAGTATGATAAGAGTGAACATCCAACTTACAGTATGTGAAAAAATTTTTGCAGCCTATCCACCTGACAAAAGTCTAATATCCAGAATCTATAAGGAGCTTAAACAAATTTGCAAGAAAAAAACAACTGCATCAGAAAGTGGGCAAAGGACATGAACAGATACTTCTTAAAAGAAGACATTCATGTGGCCAACAAACCTATGAAAAAAAGCTCATCATCACTGGTCATTAGAGAAATGCAAATCAAAACTACAGTGAGATAGCATCTCATGACAGTTAGAATGGCTACTATGAAAAAGTCAGGAAACAACAGATGCTGGAGAGGATGTGGAGAAATGGGACTGCTTTCACACTGTTGGTGGGAGTGTAAATTAGTTCAACCATTGTGGAAGACAGTATGGCAATTCCTCAGGGATCTAGAACCAGAAATACCATTTGACGCAGCAATCCCATTACTGGGTATATTCCAAAAGGATTATAAATCATTCTACTATAAAGACACATGCACACGTATGTTTACTGCAGCACTATTTACAATAGCAAAGACTTGGAACCATCCCAAATGCCTATCAATGATAGACTGGATAAAGAAAATGCAGCACATAGACACCATGGAATACTATGCAGCCATAAAAATGGATGAATTCATGTCCTTTGCAAGGACATGGATGAAGCTGGAAACCATCATTCTCAGCAGACTAACATAGGAACAGAAAACCAAACACCACATGTTCTCACTCATAAGTGGGAGTTGAACAATGAGAACACATGGACACAGGGAGGAGAATATCACGTACCAGGGCCTGTCTGCTGGTGGCGGGGGAGGAGAGGTAGAGCATTAGGACAAATACCTAGTGCATGGAGAGCTTAAAAGCTAGAAGATGGGTTGATGGGTGCAGCAAACCACCATGGCACATGTATACTTATGTAACAAACCTGCACGTTTTGCAAATGTATCCCAGAACTTAAAGTAAAAAAAAAAAAAAAGAAAAAAATGTTTACCACTCAAGTTAGCTGAAGAAAGGATCTGTGTAAAGGGGATTTTCATGTAGCACAACTGTGGGAAGTGAAAAGTGGTTTGCTGCTGCTTTCTCCATCTCTCTGGAGCCACAGGACGACTTTTCTGTGCCTGTCTGCTCCCTGGAATCACATACCAGTGATTCCCATAGACACTTGCCTCTGGAAAGCACCCAGTTCTATTCTCCCACAGCCAGGGCCAGGCCTCAGCAGTGGCCTCAGCATCCATGGCTCTGATCCTGGCCCCAACTCCAAGTGACTGACTGCTACATTGTCCAACACCATGGAATCAGCCTCTCTGTTCAGTGTCTAGTATGAAAATTCATGTGGCTCTGAATGGGTCAAATATCCACTCCTGCTCCAATAATCTAAAGCCTAGATTCAAGTGGAGGGTGGGGTGTTATACACATGGTTGCCTCTTCTACCAGACACCAGAGTAGGGAGAGAGAGAGTCACATACACAAATAAAAGCTGCAGCAGTTCTGGGGTATTATTGAGTGCTAATACTCTGGAATACAAAGTGGGGTATTATTGAGTCCTAATACTCCGGAATACAAAGTGGGGTATTGAGTGCTAATACTCTGGAATACAAAGGGGGTCACCAAAACATGTCTCTCTGTCTCTTTCCTCCTACTCCACCCCAGTCTATACCTCCCCCGGCCACCATCCCACTTCTACACCTCTTTCACAAACCCCCACCCCTTTCTTCCCCCTCCTCCAGTCTCCACTCCTATCCCCAAAGTAATTCCTAAAGGTACACTGTCCCACCTCCTTCCCCCCACTCTTCCCAGTCTTCTTCCCCCACCACCCCACCCCCATTCTTCCTCCACTCTTCCCAGCCTTCTTCCCCCACCACCCAGGCCCCCATTCTTCCTCCACTTTTTCCCAGCCTTCTTCCCCCACCACCCTGGCCCCCGCCGCTGCAAGCCCTCCCTCTGAAAATTAATTTCCTATCCAGATATGCATGCTTCGGTTCTATTTTGCATTTCTGCACTCACTGGGGTTTTTGTAGCCAGATTCCCCTCCCACAGTGGAAGCAAGTATCCCTCCGTGAAAAATTCACAGCTTTACACCAAGGGCAGTCCCAATCACCAGGCCTGCGATATACTGGAAGTCTTCTTTGCTGATGGGGTTCGGAGTCTTTCTTGTCTCTTGGATGCTCTTGAGGGTCTATTCTGTGGCCCCCCACATCAGACCACAGGCTAGAACCAAAGGCCCCCCAGTCGGAAGGCATCTGAGGTGGAACTGATGCTGTTGCTGGTGGAGGGGATATAGTGGGTATGGCTGAGAAGGTGGACAAAGGGCTTGAGTATGAGTATGTGAATGAGGCAGGGAGCTGGACAGCAAGAGGTTCTGGTGAGGCTGTGGATCTGGGCTTCATGGTTTCAGAGAAGAAAGGCATGGCTGTTTCGCTGGACCTAAGATCTCCCTCACTCTTCCCCCAGTAGGTGTAACTTTCCTGCTCAGCATCTCCGAGGAACTGCAGGATAATTCTCTCCAGCTCCTGTGTGGTCTCCATGGAGGCAACCCCAGCCTCCAGAGGGGGGGACTCAGCCTCCATGGGGGAAGCCCCAGCCTCTACAGGGGAAGCCCCAGCCTCTACGGGGGAAGCCCCAGCCTCCATGGGGGAAGCCCCAGCCTCTACAGGGGAAGCCCCAGCATCCACGGGGGAAGCCCCAGCCTCTACGGGGGAAGCCCCAGCCTCCACGGGGGAAGCCCCAACCTCTACAGGGGAAGCCCCAACCTCCAAAGGAGAAGCCTCAACCTCCACAGGGGGAGCACCAGCCTCCATGGGAGCAGCCATAGCCTCCATGAGGGGAGACCTAGCCTCCACAGGGGGAGCTATGGCCTCCACAGAGGCAGTCACAGTCTCCACATCCCTCTGCTTTTCTTCTCCTCCTTTTCCTCCAGCGGCACCAGCAGCAGCCACCGCCACCTCTTCTTCCTCCTCACCTGCTCCTTCTGTGCAAACTGCTCTGGCAGTGGCCAGGCCTGGCCCCCCGGCCGCCTGCTCCCACTCATGGGGAGACGCCAGCCCCTGGAGAGAAATGGGTAGGGCTGAGACGTGTTCTGGGGGCAAGGCAGGAGCACTGAGCAGGGTAGGGTGGAGCTACCAGGTAGGGAAGGGTGGGCGGGGCAGGGCAAAGCCATGGAGCAGCGTAGAGAGGGGCAGGAATGGGGCGGGGCAGGGCAGTGGTACTGGGCAGGGACCAGTTGAGGGATCTTACTGCATGGAGGAGCTTCCAACTCAGCATGTCTCGCTCTTTCTGCACCTCCGCGAGCCTGGACTGGGCCATTCTTAGTTGGGAGGCCGCCTCCTCGCGTTCTGTCTCCTGCTGCGCCCTGAGCTTCGTCAGGTCTGACACCAAGGCCTGTGCGGCTGATTTGTGCAGTTTGGCGAAACTGTGTAGCCACTGCACCCTGCGGTTTTGTAACTCTGCCTGCCTATGGGCGAAGTGCACCGCCAAGGCCAGGCTGCCCCAGGTGCAGGCCTCTTTGACCTCGCTGGGCACCTCGCGGTTCTCCAGGATGGCCCTGAGCTTGTCTTCCACCTCCTCCCAGGATAAGGATATATTCTCGAGATAGAACTCGGGGCCTTTCGGGTGTCTGGCCATCTTCTCGTTGATGAATGCCACCACGTTGCCGTGCCGGAACCCACTACTGGGGTCCTCAGGTCTCAAGGCCATGGTCGTCTAGGGGCTTAACGGTTTCACTACCCCTGTGTAGATGGAGCAACCGATAGATACCTCACCCACCCCTCAGCTCCTCCCCCACCCCTCAGCTCCTCCCCTCATCGGTCTTCGCTCACCCTCTTGCCCCCGCCCTCTCTCCTCTGAAAAGACCCTCCTAATGACCCCCTGACCAGCTTGTCCTACCCTAGGACTCCTCCCACCAGGACTTACCTCTTTGGCCAGCGCCAGATGAAGTACAGGCCAACCCCGCTGTTTTAACAAGCCGGAAGAGGGAAGGGGGCCTCTCTCCCTCCTGAGGCTTCGGGGAAAGGAAGCCTCAGGGCCAACGCGGAGGCTTTCGCTCTGGGACTGTTCCAATTTCCAGAAATTCCAGGGGTGGAAGGGAGTGAGTACAGAAGGCTCCCGCCACTACATTGGGATGTAACGGAACTACCACACGGGTGTGAGCCCTTATAGGCCAGAAGAAACAGGAGTGGTCAGAAAATACTTAGAACCAAGAAAATTAAGCCCTTATAATCAAGTCAGAAAAGTCCCACTTATCCCTCCCTCTTGTCATAATGGTTTGTCCCACACCAACGGCTAGTAGGGCTCCCCCTAGAGGTTGAAGGGGAATAATGGGAATGTTCTAGAACATGAAAAAGCCTCCCCCAACCCTTGAAAATTCTGTAGCTTCTTTTCCAGACTCCTGAATCCTAGTATACAGATTAGTGACCTTTTACTGAAAAGGGCAAGATAGCAGGCATTTGATGCTTTGTGGGCAAAAGATCCCAACTACCTGTAGCACAAAAGCAGGCATAAATAATACCTGAAGAAATGTCCATGGCCATGTTCTAATAAAAGTTTATTTATAAAACCAGGTGGTTGGCATGATTTGGCTGTAGGTGTCAAACTCCCAATCTGGATTCACATTTCATACATGTCCTACAGGTACACACAATCAAAATGTTCATGATATAACTCGCTCTTTTCCCTGTTAAAACCAAAATGTTAGACAAGGTAACAGCTTGTCAATACAAAAAAGAAAAAAAAATGAGTTGCGAATTTGTCAGTACTCAGAACCAGAAGAGTTTCAGAGACCTATTCCCTACAGCATGAGAAGTAAGTTTTTTATAGGCTGAATTTCAGCACAAAGGAGAAAAATCACCTTATTGGCTACAGCAAGGCATTTGCCTAATTTGGACATGGTGTCTTCACTGGACTGCCTGTGATTAGCTGAAGCCTGGCTAGTTGGGTATGCCTGAAATTAGGCTGTCTTTTTATACAGCTTATGTTAAGTTTCAGTCTATTTACATACTAAGTTACGTTGCAGTTTGTTAGATGGGAACTCAAAGTATGGAAACAGCTTCAAACTAATGGCCTCTTGCTTATTACTATATACAGGAGATGATTTCCCTCCTAAATTCCTATGTTGCTCAATACAGAAACCTCAAAATCAAGTTAAGTCACCTACCCTTCATACCCACCATTAAAAACAAGTGAAGTAAGAGACCAGATCTTGTTGCTGTGACCTCAGAAACTTCTAAGATATCCATGCCCACTTAGGGAATGTCCATGTTGCACCCCAAATTATCTTCCTGTCTTTAATTTCTTCATAATTTCTAATCACTTCCTAATCTTTCTTATCATCATGCTTCTCTTAAGCTTAAAAACATTTGATGGCTTCTTGTGACACACTCCTTGTCCTGACATTAGACTCTCACCCTAGGATACCATTCTAATTTAACTCTCTCCACTCTCTTAACTACCATCATTTATGTACCCAAGGGATTAAGCCATAGAGGAATACACTTATTTGGGCTTTTAAGTTATTTTCCCTTCTGACAAATCAGAGCATTCATTTTTTATTATATGGGCATTATGTTCTGTTCTATAAACTACATTTAAAAAGATAATATTTCTTCTCTAAGGGCCTTAAATCAGATAATTAGAGAGGAGAAAGATAATAAATCAGGCATTAAAATATTACCTAAGAAGATGGTTAAACCCCACAGGCATAAAGTCCCAGCATTTAAATTCTGTTTTTAGATGCTGTCTTGTGATTTTTTTTTCCTTCTCAGCCTGCATATTTTATTTACCACCCATCAGTGGTACGAGTTCATGTTTTGGCTTGTTCTAGAGTGACTTATATAGTAAAAGCACCGAGGAGATGATATAGAAAAGACAATGGTGAGGAAAGGAGGAGAGACTGGAGTCAGGAAGACCCATTAGGGAGATGCCAAAGCAATTCAGTAAGTAAACCAAAGCAGAGGAAATAGGGTTGGAGAGAAGAGTGTAGAGTCATTTGGTAGATGTATAGGGATGTCAGGGACAAGGATGAGGGAATGCTGAGGATAATGGCCAGGTTTCTGATATACGGGACTAAGTAGATGGCCATGCTATTGACTTAGGTAGAAAATGAAGAATTGTTTGGGATGAGTTTACCTTTAGCCATATTGATATTAAAATACCTGTTGGGGCCGGGCACGGTGGCTCATGCGTGTAATCCTAGCACTTTGGGAGGCCAAGGCGAGTGGATCACCTGAGGTCAGGAGTTCAAGACCAGCTTGGCAAACATGGTGAAACCCTGTCTCTACTAAAAATGCAAAAATTAGCCAAGTGTGGTGGCATGCACCTGTAGTCCCAGCTACTTAGGAGACTGAGGCAGGAGAATTGCTTGTACCTGCGAGGCAGAGGTTGCAATGAACCAAGATTGTACCACTGCACTCCAGCCTGTGCAACAGAGCAATACTCAGGCTCCAAAAAAAAAAAAAAAAAAAAAAAAAAAGAATATCTGTTGGACATGTTGGTGGAGATACTCAGTAGGCAGTTTGATATGTGAGTCTAGAACTTAGGAGAGACGTCAGAGTTGGGGATGTAGTACTGAGAGGTGAAAGCTGAATTTACAGCAACAGTTGAAATAACTCAAGGATAGAATATGGAGCAAGAAGAGGAAAGGGCTGGGGACAGAACCCTGGCCTGCCTTCATGGATCTCTTCCTTTCTACAGCTGTGTGCTGCCATTGGTGATTTTATAATTGCCCTCTTTCTCCTTTATGTTCTTGCCTACTAACTTCAGAACATTTTTAACCTTATCTCTTTTATTCCCTCTACAATACTTTAAACATGAAATTTGGTTTCTGATTAGTTGTCTCTTTATGCTGCCATTTTTCCACTTCTGCTTATGAACACATTTAGAAAATTAAATTATTTCTGTTTAGCAGACTAGAGAAGGGAGAAACTGAAGACAGAAAAACCTGTTAGGAAGTTCCTTCACTAGTGCAGGCAAAACATTACTAGGCCTTGAACTGTGGTAGGACCTCAGTGAGATGTCAGGTGAGGAGAGATTTTTGAAATACAGTTAGCATGACTTGTTAACCAATTGTATTAATATATGAGAAATAAATATGGGTGTTGGAGTAGAAAATGGTTTTGAGGCATTTGACTTGAGAAACTAGGCTTTGTGACTAGTGATGCCTCAAACCGTAATAGATATAGAAACAGACTATAGAGAAGAGATAATAAATTCAGTTTTGGATTGACAGATGCCTTCATGGTAGTTACATTGAATCATAGTTAAATGGCTGTACTGGGCTGGAAATTAGGTGAGAGGACAAAACTAGAGATAATTTCTATAAATTTTGATGCTTTCTATGCTCGGTTTTTGGCTAAGACCTCATGCTTCGATAAAATTGCTGGAGATGAAGGTTGAAAGAGAGAATAAGCAGGAAAAAAAAAAAAAAAAAAAAAAAGAAGAAGAAGGAATCCTGAGGTCTTGGAAAGGATAGTAAATACCTTTAGAGATAAGACAAGGGAGAACAAGCAGTAGGAGTAGTCAGAGAAGTAGAGAATTAAAAAAGGAGGTGTTCTAGACCTAAAGAGAGATTTGGAAGGTGAAAAGAGTTGTTACTAGTTTTAAGTAATGCACAGAGGTTACCTAGGATGAGGGTGAACAAGAAGTCATTAGGTTTAGCTAATAAGATATCCTTAGTGATTTGAGTGATAGAGAGGCAATAGAATGATGAGGCAGATGCCAAATGATAGGGGATTATAGATTGAAATTGGAGGTAAAAGTAGAAATTTTGAATACTATTATTTCAAGATGTCTCATGGTGAGAGAACTCTACCACCAGGAGTCAGAAAATAGATCATTAAAGCATAGGATATGCCAGTTTAGTTGGTGAGACAACTAAGTTATACAATTTTCAACTCAAAGAGAAAATAATCTGGTATTTACTGTAGGAAGAAAGGGGTAATCATATGTAAAGAAAACTCTGTTTTGAAGAATTTGTATTGTGACCCAAGAAATAAGGACAAACCTTTGTGAATTCTATGAGAACTATGAAATAAAAATATATCAGTGTAATCTGATATTTATAGAGAAGGAGTGAGCAAGTGAGAAATAGTTATTAAAGTCAGTGAAATTGGGGAAGAATTTCTGGAGGACAGTTATGTTGTTATTTTAATAGAAACATTGGGGTTCTCCAGAGATTTGTGAAGACCTTTCTGGTTGTAGTATGATGTGTCTCAGATTGCCATTCTTAAAAGTGTCTTCATCCAAACAAGAAAGCAGGACTCACTCATACTATGATGTGGTTAATGGCGGTGTCAGGGAACCTTTCAAATTTACCTTCATTGTTACCTTACCTTTATCCACATTCTCATTCATTGGCAGCCATATTTCGAACAAGCTGCCTATACCCTTAGGTGGCATTTTGCAATTGCCTTTCCTTTAGGAATGGTGACAAGAGCTCACCACTAGACTGATCCACAAGTCTTAGTTACATATAAATGGATTGCTACATATATATGTACTATATTCTTTTTTTTTTAGTAGACATCTAACTTTAATGCACAACCTCCAAATAAATTATAGTTTGCTTTGAATTCAAAGTGAAGAATATTTTGATGACAAAAATTTTGAGTGACTAGTTTTTAAAATATACATAATGTTTACTATAACCTTGTCCATTGGCTACTTAAAAAAAAATGAAGAAAACAAAAAATCTTGATTCACTT